AAAGTTCTAAATTTAGTATAAGCTATTCTATGATTTTTATTTATAATTTTATTTAAATACTGTTCAAATTCAAATTAATATAATTTGTAGATCACCCAATTAGAAACATAGAAATATGACAAGAAATTATGTAAAAAATAATTTTATGTGCCTGTCCAGGTTTAAAGTGTTTCTCAGGGGAATACATGTCATGACAATTCTTGGAAAGATGAAGAAAATAAACCATTGTTTAGCAAGTATCTTTGGGTCAGTCTCAATCTAAAATGAGCTGTATATAACTACCACCTGAATGTAGTGACCACAATTGACCTCACAACCATGAGTGTGAACACAACCACGAGTGTGAACACAACCATGAGTGTGAACACAACCACGAGTGTGAACACAACCACGAGTGTGAACACAACCACGAGTGTGAACACAGCCACGAGTGTGAACACAGCCATGAGTGTGAACACAGCCATGAGTGTGCATGAGTGTGAACACAACGATGAGTGTGAACACACCCACGAGTGTGAACACACCCACGAGTGTGAACACACCCACGAGTGTGAACACACCCACAAGTGTGAACACAACCACGAGTGTGAACACAACCACGAGTGTGAACAAAACCACGAGTGTGAACACAACCATGACATGAGTGTGAACACAACCATGACATGAGTGTGAACACAACCATGAGTGTGAACACAACCATGAGTGTGAACACAACCATGACATGAGTGTGAACACAACCATGACATGAGTGTGAACACAACCATGACATGAGTGTGAACACAACCACGAGTATGAACACAACCACGAGTGTGAACACAACCACGAGTGTGAACACAACCACGAGTGTGAACACAACCACGAGTGTGAACACAACCATGACATGAGTGTGAACACAACCACGACATGAGTGTGAACACAACCATGACATGAGTGTGAACACAACCATGACATGAGTGTGAACACAACCATGAGTGTGAACACAACCATGAGTGTGAACACAGCCATGACATGAGTGTGAACACAACCACGAGTGTGAACACAACCACGAGTGTGAACACAACCACGAGTGTGAACACAACCATGACATGAGTGTGAACACAACCATGACATGAGTGTGAACACAACCATGACACGAGTGTGAACACAACCATGACATGAGTGTGAACACAACCATGACATGAGTGTGAACACAACCATGACATGAGTGTGAACACAACCATGACATTAGTATGAACACAACCATGACATGAGTGTGAACACAACCATGAGTATGAACACAACCACGAGTGTGAACACAACCACGAGTGTGAACACAACCACGAGTGTGAACACAACCACGAGTGTGAACACAACCACGACATGAGTGTGAACACAACCATGACATGAGTGTGAACACAACCATGACATGAGTGTGAACACAACCATGAGTGTGAACACAACCATGACATGAGTGTGAACACAACCATGAGTGTGAACACAACCATGACATGAGTGTGAACACAACCATGAGTGTGAACACAACCATGACATGAGTGTGAACACAACCATGAGTGTGAACACAACCACGAGTGTGAACACAACCACGAGTGTGAACACAACCACGAGTGTGAACACAACCATGACATGAGTGTGAACACAACCATGAGTGTGAACACAACCATGAGTGTGAACACAGCCATGACATGAGTGTGAACACAGCCATGACATGAGTGTGAACACAACCACGAGTGTGAACACAACCACGAGTGTGAACACAACCACGAGTGTGAACACAACCATGACATGAGTGTGAACACAACCATGACATGAGTGTGAACACAACCATGACATGAGTGTGAACACAACCATGACATGAGTGTGAACACAACCATGACATGAGTGTGAACACAACCATGACATGAGTGTGAACACAACCATGACATGAGTGTGAACACAACCATGACATGAGTGTGAACACAACCACGAGTGTGAACACAACCACGAGTGTGAACACAACCACGAGTGTGAACACAACCATGACATGAGTGTGAACACAACCATGACATGAGTGTGAACACAACCATGACATGAGTGTGAACACAACCATGACATGAGTGTGAACACAATCATGACATGAGTGTGAACACAACCACGAGTGTGAACACAACCACGAGTGTGAACACAACCATGACATGAGTGTGAACACAACCATGACATGAGTGTGAACACAACCACGAGTATGAACACAACCACGAGTGTGAACACAACCACGAGTGTGAACACAACCATGAGTGTGAACACAACCATGACATGAGTGTGAACACAACCATGACATGAGTGTGAACACAACCATGACATGAGTGTGAACACAACCATGAGTATAAACACAACCACGAGTGTGAACACAACCACGAGTGTGAACACAACCACGAGTGTGAACACAACCATGAGTGTGAACACAACCACGAGTGTGAACACAACCATGACATGAGTGTGAACACAACCATGACATGAGTGTGAACACAACCATGAGTGTGAACACAACCATGAGTGTGAACACAACCATGAGTGTGAACACAACCACGAGTGTGAACACAGCCATGACATGAGTGTGAACACAACCATGAGTGTGAACACAACCATGAGTGTGAACACAACCACGAGTGTGAACACAACCATGACATGAGTGTGAACACAACCACGAGTATGAACACAACCACGAGTGTGAACACAACCACGAGTGTGAACACAACCATGAGTGTGAACACAACCATGACATGAGTGTGAACACAACCATGACATGAGTGTGAACACAACCATGAGTATAAACACAACCACGAGTGTGAACACAACCACGAGTGTGAACACAACCACGAGTGTGAACACAACCACGAGTGTGAACACAACCATGAGTGTGAACACAACCACGAGTGTGAACACAACCACGAGTGTGAACACAACCATGACATGAGTGTGAACACAACCATGACATGAGTGTGAACACAACCATGACATGAGTGTGAACACAACCATGACATGAGTGTGAACACAACCATGAGTGTGAACACAACCATGAGTGTGAACACAACCACGAGTGTAAACACAGCCATGACATGAGTGTGAACACAACCATGAGTGTGAACACAACCATGAGTGTGAACACAACCACGAGTGTGAACACAACCATGACATGAGTGTGAACACAACCACGAGTGTGAACACAACCACGAGTGTGAACGCAGCCATGACATGAGTGTGAACACAACCATGAGTGTGAACACAACCACGAGTGTGAACACAACCACGAGTGTGAACACAACCACGAGTGTGAACACAACCACGAGTGTGAACACAACCATGACATGAGCGTGAACACAACCATGACATGAGTGTGAACACAACCATGACATGAGTGTGAACACAACCATCCATGAGTGTGAACACAACCATGAGTGTGAACACAACCATGAGTGAGAACACAACCATGAGTGAGAACACAACCATGAGTGTGAACACAGCGTTCGGTTCGATTCACGTTCAATACGCGTTTAATTCATGTACAATTGAAACGTCCATTGAAATACTTATAGGTTGATCCCCACTTTTCCTCCACAAAATATGCTATATATAAACTTTTGTGTAAATTATAGATATTTCAATTTGTACGTCAATCAAACGCAAAATGTATGTGAATCAAACGTGAATTGAACGGAACGTTGTCTTCACACTCGTCTCACAACCAGTTGATATGTATATACTGTTTGTTGATTTGTTCTTACTTCATCAGTGGCTATCTCCATAAATGCCGACAATGCTTTCTCAATACTAGGCTTTGATTTGGTTGCCATAGTGGCATAATTCTCCAGCACAGTGTGCTTGACAGATCCTGGTTTTGGCTTCAGCTCCTGTTGAAAGTAAACAAATAAAAACAAATATAAACTGTCTTGTTTACGTACATGCCATGTTATTTTCGCTTGGAATTAATTTTTGCTATTTTTGCTGAAGTGATGATTTAGTGAAAATAAAATCCAGCGAATATACCTTTTTTCCTATATTTTACATTCAACTTGCCAAAAATCAGTGGAAATAAATTCCATACCAAAAAACACTCGAAAAGTCTTTTCAGCAAAAATTAATTCCAGCTAAAATAAAGTATGTCACAGTAGAATGTTTTCCGTTCACTGCATGATCCCGAATTATGTGTAAAATCAAATGTATACCGGTAAACCAGATAAACAAAGGTTATAGTTTTAGTTACAACAAAATATCGTGTGAGAATTAATATTTTGTTGCTTAAAGGGGAACCGCTCAATTCCATGGATTGCACCAAAGAATCATGGGACACTATTGTTTATGTTGTTTACAAAGTTAATCTATCTTTAATTATCCATTGTTATTTTAGTCCAGAAAGTAAATTTGTCGTGAGATTAGGCTTAACTGGAAGGTGCCCCTTTAAGCATCTTTCATTTCAACCTTTTCACCACCAGACTTTCTTATAAAAATTTGTCCGCACTTATTTTCGTATATTCTACAATATTTCTGGAAATGAATTTTTGAGCCAATAGACAAATTTTGAGTAAATTTTCAGAGTTTACTCAAAAATTAGTTTTAGTCCCAATCTTCTGAAGGAAAGTGCAGACTATAAATGGGACTATTTTGTGTAATTGTGATGAAAAAAGTAAACTGGTGGTGAAAAGGTTAGACATATTGTCGCATACAACTTATGTACCACTTCCGTGTGAATGAGAATGTTCTAGAACCGTACTGTGTCTGGGTGGAATTTTTAGAAACTGGTTGAATAGGTAATGGAACATTCTAGAAATTTGTAGTAAGTTCCAGACTCATTATGTATGCTGATGTAATGGTCTATTTATAGACAGTGTGGGTATATATAGGGGAGTTGTTCAGCACTGAGATCAGATCGGAGATCTCGTTGAATTGTATTGGAGTTTAAGTATCTAGTTATTGGAGTAGTGGAGTTTTACAGCGTTATTGTACTTGATGTTTGCAGAGTATAATACCAGTACCAGTTGAAACCTCATCTGTTGGCTCCGTGTTCGTATTTTATCATCGCCGCCAGGGAAGTCTTTATGTTACTGTTGCCATTTTGGTATTCGAACCAGCACACCTGTACTATACCAATTACAGTAATATTACGTTGCGTGTGACGCATACAATAATGCTAGTAAACAGTAGACTAAAATTGCTGTATGGTACAGGAACACAATGTTATGATATATGGTACATACTTTGAGTAGTTTTTCCGCTGTCCTGACTGCAAGTGCTTCTGAATCCTGTCTCTCTGTTGAATTACTGTGGGATTTCAAGCAGAAATGAAAATATTACAAACAAGTATTACCGGTAGACACTCTTCCTATCACCTAGTGTTTGTCAGTGTTCTACATGGTTCAGAGTTCAGTGATCTCATGTAAGGGCCTTAAAAATATTTATCTAGTCAATGTGCACGCTACCCAAAAAAGTACAGGTCATTTTTTTTTTATTTATTAAATGCACGCAATATAACCATTGACCTTGGATTGACTGTGATAGAATATTTTATTTTCAGAAATATTCTGACTAGTCAGTCAATTTCAATCAAATCATAAAACAACCCGACATGTAATAGTAACCATAGTAACCAATCATGTGTGAATAAATTGAACCAAGAACGATTAACCTTTTCACCACCAGATTTTTTCCACCAAATTTGTATGCACTTTTTTTCCTATAATCTTCAATATTTCTGGAAATGAACCCTTATTTTGAGGACAACAAACAAAATTTGAGTCAAGTTTCAGTTTTCACCCAAATTTTTAAAAATATTTTTGTCCAAATTTTCTGAAGGAAAGTGCAGACTATAAACAAGACTATTTTGTGAATTTTTGATGAAAAAGGGGGGGGGGAACTGGTGTTGAAAAGGTTAAGAAATGATTCATGACATGTTTACATTTTGCAGAGAATATATATACAAGACAGAATTCATTGAAAAAAACACATGGACACATTAATGCATTAAACCTGTCAAGAAACAAACTGCTTTCAAACTTGTCACTGATAGCATAGTGGGGTTGTTGCATCAGAATCATGATCAGTAGACCCAAGTTCAAACACCAAACAGGGACGACCCCTACCCTGGACGAGAGTGCCACAGACTCGATGGAAAGGCTAATTCAACTGGCAAAGGTTCATTCACTAATAAATGCGACAATTGGGGAACATTAGTTAAAGGGTGGTGGTCGTCACACCACATTTGATATGGGACTCATTGTTGTATACAATGCATGTAAAAATACATTGCTTACATGGAATTAGAACACATGCTACACGATGACCAGTGACCAGGTCCACAGGTGCTTGGTAGACGTTAGGATAGCACAGTAAAGGGTGGCGGTCGTCGCACCACGTTTGACATGGGACTCATAGTGACGTATACAACGCTCGTAAATACACTGTTTACATGAAATTATAACACACGCTACATGACGATCAGTGCTGTTTAAGGTCCACAGGTGCTTGGTTGACGTCAGGATAGCACAGTAAAGGGTGGCGGTCGTCGCACTGTGCATGCACAATTTTTTTTCCCACAATCCAATGCGCTCTTTCAATGAAAATCATGAGTACAAGTTTTCTCCACTAATTACCGATGAAGACTTCTTTGATTTCTTCCAATCACCAAAAAAATTAACTAATTAAAGCTTAGTAACGTCTCAGTCTGTACTCATTGGTCGGCGCAACAGTCAAACCCGCCATCTTTGTTTATACGAGACCCATATCTTGCGCATGTGTGGTGCAACGACCACTGCCCTTTAAATTGCCATCATCAGCCCTATCATGTCATCTAAAACATGAAAATGGCTTCTGTGGCAAGCTGCTTTCTGATTGGTCTGACTGCAAGGTATTAGATTTGGGTAACCAATCAGGCACAATCTTGTAAGCAACTTCACATATTTATACCATACCTCATATCACCATCTACATTGTCAAAGACTTCACCACCAACTGTCTCATTATCAGGATTCAAACATATTTCTATCATGTTCTCAAGCGCAGGTTGTCCCCAGTCACTGTCTTTACGTGCCATGTTAAAATGTTTCAGTGCTGTATTAGCATCACCTATATACCTGTAGTGGAAATATAATATGCGCATAAATAATTAGGCTTCACAGTTAGGGGTGCCAATGCAACAGAATTATTATTATGTTAGGGGGCACTATATTTTTGGGATTGAAAGGTATTTTTTTTTATCCCCAGTCACTGTCTTTACGTGCCATGTTGAAATGTTTCAGTGCTGTATTAGCATCACCTATATACCTGTAGTGGAAATATAATATGCGCATAAATAATTAGGCTTCACAGTTAGGGGTGCCAATGCAACAGAATTATTATTATGTTAGGGGGCACTATATTTTTGGGATTGAAAGGTATTTTTTTTTATCCCCAGTCACTGTCTTTACGTGCCATGTTGAAATGTTTCAGTGCTGTATTAGCATCACCTATATACCTGTAGTGGAAATATAATATGCGCATAAATAATTAGGCTTCACAGTTAGGGGTACCAATTCAACAGAATTATTATTATGTTAGGGGGCACTATATTTTTGGGATTGAAAGGTATTTTTTCATCCCCAGTCACTGTCTTTACGTGCCATGTTAAAATGTTTCAGTGCTGTATTAGCATCACCTATACACCTGTAGTGGAAATATAATATGCGCATAAATAATTAGGCTTAACAGTTAGGGGTGCCAATGCAACAGAATTATTATTATGTTAGGGGGCACTATATTTTTGGGATTGAAAGTTATTTTTTTTATCCCCAGTCACTGTCTTTACGTGCCATGTTAAAATGTTTCAGTGCTGTATTAGCATCACCTATGTACCTGTAATGGAAACATAATATGTGCATAAATAATTACAGTCTTCACAGTTAGGGGTGCCAATTCAACAGAATTATTATTAAGGCTATATAAAATGTGCATAAATAATTACAATACAGTCTTCACACTTAAACGATTGAAAGGTATTTTTTTGTCCCCAGTCATTAATTAAAGAAAAATTAATATATTAAGAAAACTTACCATACGTATAATCCTTTGCAGTAATTGAACCCTGGTTCAGAAGGTGCTCTTGCAGATGAGTTCTCAGCAGGATCAAGAAATTGAGGTACATCCTCCAGTTTTCCAGCTCTACGCATTAAATCTATCAATCTAGATAGTGCCTCATAGTGATCTAAGTAAAACGAATAACACAAAAATGAGTCAGAATAATTACCGTAAAATCTGTATTAGAAGCCGCATCCCGAATAGAAGTCGCACCCAATCTTTTTGAACAATTGAGAACCAAAAATTCATCATTTCTCATATGTGTAGATGGCTCTAATTAGATGCCACATCCCCTCTGATAGAAGTCAATAGAAGTCGCAGTTTCTAATAAAGATTTCACAGTAGCTACATTCTGAAATAGCCCAATTACAGATTGGCTAAAATAACATACTAGCTGGTGGGAGGAGCGAGCAAGATCTGAAACCTAATAAAACAGGATAATTGTGTGTTGGCTTCAGACATGATAACTATATCTTTTGTACTGCTTAGTGAAAACATCATTACAGAGTGGACAAAAGTGGCCACTTTTCATCTTGTAATTAAGCTATTTTTTACATAATTTCTTCCATAATTTTCTGAGTGAAAATAAAATCAAACAATTATATTTTTTTTCTTTATATTTCCAGAAATGAATCCGAATTTTGAAGACAACCAACAAAATTTGAGTCAATTTTCAGTTTTTATTCAATAACTTTGGCTATTTTTGTCCCAGTCTTTTGAAGGAAAGTCCAGACTATAAATGGAACTTTTTTGTGACTTTGTGATGAAAAGAGGGAACTGGTGGTGAAAAGGTTAACAAATT